TGGGGTTGGTCCTGCCTTGAGCGGTGGGTTGGACTCGATGATCTCCTGAGGTCTCTTCCAACCCTCCTCTTCTGTGATTCTATGAAACGTTTCCAGCTGCCCCTAGGCCAAGCGACAGGCAGCAGCTCAGGCTTCCTGCTCCCCGTGTGTAAGAGGCTGGATGAGGGGCGAGGGAGAGCGTCGCGCTGGGATGGGTTTGGAGAGCAAGAGAAATGTGTGACCTGCATCTGGCTGGGGAGCGGTTGAGCTTTTGCAGCCTTTGGTCACGGGGGTTAAAGAGAGGCCTTTCTCTGGGGAGAGGGGATCACAGGTCAAGAAGAGGAAACGCCTTGGATGGTTTGACCACAAGGACAAACATCTATGACAGCCTAAGACCACAACCAGTGATCAGTCAGCACACTTGGGCTAAGGGCAGCTGGTGGTGCCAAGAACCCCCAGCCCAGAGGGTAGCTTGCGGGGGTCTGTGAGTGGATAGGACGCTGCCCCAGGAACTGTGGGGCTTTGCTAGCAGGACCTAGGCCAGTCTAGTAAGTGAAGACAGAGTGATGGAGGAAGAAGAGAAACATATCTGTGATGTACCTTCAAGGAAGAGAGGAATCATTTAGAGAGGAAGAAGGGTAACAAGATGGAAGCTAATATAAAAGAACATTTGGGGTAAATATACATTCAAACATTTCAGAGTAAAAACAGGTTGTGGACTAGTTTCCTAAAGGAAGTGGGAAACTTCATTGCTTGGGGTATTTAAATACAGGCTTGATAAAGCAACATGGCCTAGCAGAGGATGGCATACATCTAGGGGGCTTCAGCTTTTCTATAGTGGGAGAGGATCTCCCTCCTATTGAGCTGGGACACCCTTCCAACACTATCTTAAGGGCAGAGTGGTCCTAGTTGTGGCCCCAGGCTGAGAAATCCTGAGTGAGATGATCTAACATGTTTTTGCATTTAATGTAACTTTCAATAAATATACTAAGATTTTTTTAAAATGGTTTACTTATACATTACAAACAGTTCACAGGGTGAAATGGAAGAAAATATACTGTACATAGTTGTTCAGAACATGAGATCCCTTATGTTACACTCCACAGATAAATTCATATTTTGGGGAAATGAATGGAAGTTATTAGCACTGATTCCAGCTACCATCCACCTACAATGAAAAATATGCACCCTTTATAAAAGGAAAAGGAGTACTTGTGGCACCTTAGAGACTAACCAATTTATTTGAGCATGAGTTTTCACGAGCTACAGCTCACGAAAGCTCATGCTCAAATAAATTGGTTAGTCTCTAAGGTGCCACAAGTACTCCTTTTCTTTTTGCGAATACAGACTAACACGGCTGTTACTCTGAAACCTGTCTTTATAAAAGGAAGCACTCAAGTTACACATTCTTGATGGGTTTTTTGATACCTTCTAACTGAGGGAAATTGTAAACAGACTAAAAGTGTTAATTTCAGAGGTGATTAATTATTAAATATAAATGGAAAGCTGAATTTTCTTCTTTGCATTCACAAAACCATAACTAAGTATCAAACCTCAATTATGTTTATAAAAGGAACATGCCAAAAACCAGAAGAAATGGCCAAACTGTGCTCTAAGTTACAGCATGTGGATTCACTAACAGGAAACAATGTTCTCCATGCTCCACTTTTAGTAGTAAACTATGTTTAAACCAAACATATTGGGGTATATTTTCATCTCTGCATATTTGGTCAGCTGGAGATAGACACAAATGGGTGGAGGGTCTACATATCAAAGCGGAATGTAAGTGCAAGTAAAGAGAAGACATTTAAAAAGGAAAAATTTAGGCTGAATACCAGGAAAAACTTCCTTATGGTCAGATCTTATTAGGCTGTGGGACAGCCTCCCAAAAGGAAGTGGTGAATGCCTCACTGCCTGAATCCTTTAAAACTAGCCTGGATACAGAAAGTATATTGTAGAGAACAATCCTGCATTGCTCAGGAACGGACAGGATGACCTACTACATAGGTTTCATCTTTAGCGATATTACTGAGCCAGAGAACATACTCCACTAGGGATTCAATTCTATTCCAATACACATGGACAAATTATGGTGGGAGACAGGAGAAATAGGAATAAACAGGAGTATTTTGGATTTAGACATTAAAACAATCTACGATTGGAAAAGAACATTAGGCCATCTAATCCAAAGCCCAGGATGTTAACATGCTCAGTAGGTAAGATTTGGAATGGGTGAAAAGCACTGATACTTAAGGCTTGATCCTACCTTCATTGAAATCAATGGTAAAGCTCGCCTTGAGTTTAATGGTGCAAGATCAGGGTCTTAATCAAGGCACTGGCCTGGCTGCAAGTCTAATCTCTTTCTGAAGCCTTGTCTATGCCGTGAAAATTTTCTAAAATTTCTGCCCAGCCCCCCCGCCATTGGTTTCTAATAGCATTTGCACTGGTGTTAATAACGGTGAGAGCCCTAGCACAGACAACTAAAATCCATGGCCACTGCAATTTTTAACGTTGTGCCCGTTCAACGGTGTTTATGGAATCAAGCAACTACTAAAGACTTAAATGACAGGTTTCAGAATAGCAGCCGTGTTAGTCTGTATCCGCAAAAAGAAAAGGAGTACTTGTGGCACCTTAGAAACTAACAAATTTGAGCATAAGCTTTCGTGAGCTACAGCTCACTTCATCACTAGCATCCGATGAAGTGAGCTGTAGCTCACGAAAGCTTATGCTCAAATAAATTTGTTAGTCTCTAAGGTGCCACAAGTCCTCCTTTTTTAAAGACTTAAATGATTATTTACAATTTAGCACCCGGATGCGGGGGAGGTTGGACTAGATAACCTACTGAGGTCCCTTCCAACCCTGATATTCTATGATTCTATGAACAGTGTACTGGGTTCCTTATTTTAAGTGTTTATTTTATAAATCCAAGTTTTGATCTATTTTATCTGTGTACAGGCACTATTTGGGGATCTAAATCAAGAAAATATTTTGATGAATGTGGAAAACACTCTTGGAGTTCAGGAAAATTACTATGCAAAGTAAGAAAAGTTATGTCCCTATGTTTATCCATCTGTTTGGAAAAAGGGGTGCTGAGCAGAAAAAGCCCTGACAATGCTTTAAGCAAGCACTGCTACTTGTCCCAATCTTTTACCAAAGTTTTCTTACAATGAAACCATTAGGGATAAACAGAAGAGATCTCAAGTTTGCAAACCCCTTTGGAATGTACATATTTTACATTTAGTCTAGCTCAAAAACTAGCTGTTAAACCCAAATTATGTTGTCAAATCATTTGCTTTTTCTTCCTCTCCCCACAAAACAATGTAATTTCTTCTAATTACAAGTGGATAAATTACAATATACACAAAATCCCAGAAGCTTTCCTCAACCAACTCATAAAGCTCTATTTTGACAAATAGAGTGTAACTTTTCATTCTGATGCCTCATGCACTAACAAAGATATACTCTAAGGACCGGTTTGCATTCATACCTCTTTGCAGATTACACAGGACACGAGAGGGTTTTTTGGTAGATAAAATTATTTTACTATGTTTTCTTTAGCAAAATCAAAATGCTAACTGTTTGTCACCTCTTGTTTCCTTATGTACGGTGCATGGCTGTACTGAAAGCCAGAAGATTTGTAAAAGTTAAGCAAAACAGAAAGTTTCATAACAGAGTGCATATAGCAAGTATCAAACATTTCAGTTTGTTATATCCTACATTAAAAAGCCCCAGTGAACACTAAACCATTAGTCATCATTCCACTGCCAATTAGGCCCTGAGGCCTAGAAGTGGTGTTAATGCTTACATTGTGTGTTTTAAGGAGAACCAGTACACATTTTCAGTTTTTAGAGAGGAGTCAAAGTGGCACCTAATATTCTATTGACAGTAGCTTACAAGACTTTGTAGTTTTCAAACATTTAATGAAGTTTGATTCTAGTAAGTTTGATTTACATTTAAATGTAGATTTGGTCCTTTTTGTAAGCTTGTTTGTGTTTAAGTGGAGAATTTTAATTCAAGTGAATAGGCTGGCCAAGGAGACCTGTAGGCCAGGGATGTATTCAGGACAGGTAAGGAGAGCCTTGCATTCTTGGAGAACACATTCTTTCAATATTTATTCTGCTGGCTCTTGCAGGTGTCTGCCTTCTCATCTAAATAGCTTTCCACATCAAGGACTGAATCCTAACACGTTCTCCCACTCTGCCCTTTGTGCCCACAGCAGATTCTGAACATAGCCTGGGGCTCCACTACAGATAGGGAGGTGTCTGGAGACCAGGAAGAGGTGGACACCCCACCTGCCATAGAATACATGGCATTGGCTTTCTCCACAGCATGCAAGGGAGGTTAGAGGCATGGCCAACAGGTTGATGAGATTATGCTGATCCAGTGGCCCAAATCCTCTGTGTAGGTGTAACAACTTCTGATACAGCTCACGGGCTGCTGAGGCTATACAGCTGCTCCACAGCCTAGGTTAGAAGGGTAATGCCATCTGGTTTTAACCTCCAGGAGATTAAAGACAGATTATTCCAGCCTTGCATAAACGACTATGCTTTGGCCCTGAATAAGTATCTAGGATGGATTATAATGAAATTCAGACATTTGGAATGATATAGGAAATAAAATCCTATCAAAGATCCACTCTCTCAGATAAACACAGTGTCACTATGCATCAGCTTCAACAATTTCTAGCTCATCATGAATTATGCTTGACAGTGTATCTGAGCTTAAACATGTCATTTGCACTGTGTATAAAATGTGCACCTCTATTTAAAATGTTCACATTTGTTAAATATTTTCTATCATTTTAGCACGGTTAGGCCATTACTTCCATTTCAGCAATACTTATAGATGAATGCTGTTCCTTTCCTAATTTTGGCTACGTATAGTAAAGTGTTTATGCTACATGAGATTTAACATTAGTTAAAAAGAGCACTAATTTTCCAGGATCTTCTATGTCATTACTGCTTCCATTAAATTTGACAGACTACAAACACAAAATTATTTTTGTTTAAGAAACAACAAAGTAAGTGCTTAACTGTTTTATTTTAGTATAAATATGTAAGAAAAATGAATAACAATTAACCAATTAATTTGGAAATGTTGTTGTTTTATTATGTCTAAATTAATCAGCTAGAATAAAACAACAAAAGCACTGGTCAAGGCAGAAATAAATAACATCTTAAGAGTGAAAGTTGCAAATACAGTAAATTAAATTAAAGCAGTGTTTACTGCTTCGCACCAAATGAGTCAGATAGCAGTATCCCACTTAGGAGACAGTAGTTGTAGTCACAATCATCAAAAAGATCTATGCCAACACTGGGGAGCTGCACACCAGCTACAAAAATAAAGAATTTTATTCTACCTTTTACAAATTGTGTGTGTGAATTTACTGCTGGTGAAAAGTCTAGATTGGCAGTTTCTGGAGACCAAACTCATCTCTACCCAAAAAACAAATAGTGGGAGTAGAAGCAGTGCATGGATTCCCACACTGTCCCACATTTCAAGGCCAGAGGATAGTCCAGTCTCATTGGCCTATCAGTTAAGATTTGCAAAGTGTGCCAATTAGTGCCAGTTTGTGAAATGGGCCTGAAACTATCATCTTATTCCACATAGGCGATGAATTATCCATCAGGTGGAGGTAACTAAAGGATGTTACCAACTTGGAACGGATTTCAACCAGTAACCTACAGGTGAATGGCTCCACATATTCCATCACCGATCCAAAGAACCATCCAGCCCCACAGTAAATTTATTTTGCCCTATTCCCCATATCAAATAAGCATTTTCCAAGTATGAGCTTTCACTTTAATCAGCAAGAACCCCATTAGTCCGCAGTTAACCTGAAAATGTGTGTAGTGTGTAACCCTGTGGGTCATGGTGCTGCATGCAGGCAAACTATTTGCTCAGAATTCTATCCCATTTCATAAGATACTGTGTATTAGGTAGGGTTCTGCCCTCATAAAGTCAGTCACAATACTTTAATGAACCTCCTCCCCATTAGTCTCCTATCATCTGCATGATTCAAAAAGGACAAATACTTCCCCCAACCAAGGGAGACTATTAATAAAAAGTGAAAATTAATCCAGTTCCAAGGAAGTTCCCTGGCACACTCATCTTGCAAAAGGCAGCAACTTAAGCACATGCTAGGGATTTCTCTCTTTAGCCTGCAATATCTTCTCCATTTTTAATAGAGAAAACACCCATTATTCATTATGAAGGACATCCATGTGTCTCCTCTGCCTTGCAGCTACTAACACCAATTCTTCAGTGGCATGGGGGAAGGCAGAGGACAAAGGGGTTAGCAGGAGAGGGGAGGCGAGAATATCCACTTCATTAGTGGATCTCTTTCCATCAGAGTAAATCGGTCCGGTTTAATTTGCCATACATAACACCTAGAGATTTGGAACTGACACTGAAGTATCCCAGCAAGTAAACAGATACCCTAAACACCTTAATGACTGAAGAGCTTGTCAAACAAAGGAAAATCGATAAAATTGATAGCTAGAAGTACTTTTTAAAGGGCCATATCTTAATATTAGTATGCCAAGGAAGACCCATGTATGCCATCATTACTCGGGAAAGTAGGGGTTGGTGGATGGCATACATGGCCCATTACAGGAAGAAACCTGGCAAGAGTCTGTGCACGGATATGGACAGAGGATCCCAATCCCCCATGTCCAATTTTAGAATCATTATATTGTGTACCTGAGCTTCAGTGGCTTTGGGCACAACATCACTGCAAGCACAAATCGGAACAGAAAGTGCCATTAGTACAAGCTATAGCCTCTTAGAGAAACCAAATATTCAATACAGAAAAGCCTTGTTAAAAATATTAAAGCAATGCCCCTAAAATTGTGCAACACTTTGGACCATATTAAACCATTAATACCCACTGCTCAAGATTTCTCTTCTCTCTCTCCCCTGACCTACAGCAAATTGTACTGCTGCAGAATCACAGCAAGCCAGAAATCCTGCACCAAAGGTCTGATGCATGCTCATACCAGTACATCATTTTAACCATGGTCAACACTGCACCTTAAACTTGTCCCCTTACAAAGTCTGGCCTGGGGCAATGACTGCACTACATATTGTACCCATACTGAAATACTTATTTAGGTTGAGCGTATAGATAGATGCACTGTAAATGTTTGGGACTACTTGTACGTGAAGACAGCCTACCATCCACTGTTGTGGGACACCTGATGGAGGGAAATAGATGAAGGATACAGGTGGCTAAATGGAGAATTTTCTTTCTATTGCACGTTTAGCTCAAACCATTAACACTATTTTAATGTAGCTGGCTGTACTTAATATATAACCAAGAAATTTGCAATAATAAATATCACGCATGATCTTTTTGATGAGGAAAAATTATCCCTATGATTACTTAGGCTTAGGAAGCTATTTTAATTAACTATAAATTAACTGTGTTAAATTATACCAGTGATTAACTCTTGTTATTTACACTTTTAAGTACTATCTTGATAATTACTAACGGTGCAAAATCTAAATTAAGATCACAGGGTTTTAATTATGCTCTGTTTTAAGAGGTATCTTTTTTAATAGTCAATGCAAATATATTTTTTTAAAGTTTGGAGAAAAGTAGGTGAAATCAAACAGTTAGAATTTTGTGCATCTTTTAAGGCATTTAACCTCCAAATCATAGTCCCATAAAAACCTTTATAGTTTACAAAATTGCAACGTAAGACTACAAAGAACAGCACACTTTTTTGCACACAGTGAAATACTAATTATTGTACTTTCTTGTAAACTTCTACTCTTATTTTCCATAATTTTTTAAAAATACTGCACAGTATTCCAAATATGGTTGGATAAAGAACTGGATGACCAATTTGGTAGCATTATCAAGTGACCTGGCATTTTCTGTACAAGTTCTACAAACACCTCTGGTATCACCGAAGCATGTATTATGAAAAGAGTTCTACTGAAACATTGCACAGACTTTGTACCACTAGGGCTTATACATTCAAAGGCAATTTCAGGAGTGCAGGTCCATCCATTCAGATTAGGAAAAATAATTACATACACACAAAAATAAGAAAATCATAGAGCTGTTACCTAGTGTGACTTTACACCAACAAGAACAACAATAAGTACAATTACTATTACAAATAAAATTAAAATGACAAACATCTTCCGATTCTTCTTCTGATATTGTTCAGCCTATAGAAACAAAAGAAAGGTAGTTAATATGTTGATTTCAGCACTGTGCAAAAGCAGACCCTGGCATGATCCAGCTTTAGTATCTAGACACCTACTAGACACGTACACTGTTTTTACGGTTATAACTTGACATTTCACATTATACTGCAAGGCGGCCATTTTGGGTACATCTATGCTGCAATTAAACACCTGTGTCTGGCCCGTGTCAGCTGAGTCAGGCTTGGGCTGTGGGGTTGCATAACCGTGGTGTAGATGTTTGGGTTTGGGCTGGAGCTTGCGCTCTGGGAACCTTCCCGCTCACGGGCTGCAGCCTGAGTCCAAATGTCTACACAAGTTCACAGCCCCACAGCCTGAGCCCCACAAACCTGACTTAGCGGACATGAGCCAACCAAGGGTGTTTAATTGCAATGTAGACATAGCCTTATAACTCAATAACTCATGTCATCATTGTACAGACTTCTTTGACTTGGTATAGATGTGCTGAAGACAAGTATGTCCTGAAACCCCACTTATCCACATTAGATTAATTCAGATAAGAGGGAAACTTCATGTCACAGAATTTGATCTCTTGTCAATTAAACAAAGTTGGGCTGTGCTTATCTTTAGTTCTTGGAAAAGCTGTATACCCCATAGGGTGCTGTGTAAAATATTACTTTACATAAAATAGAGGTGGCACATCTGAAAGTGTAAATGATAACTAAAATCAGAATTTTAGATTGTTTAGGTGCGGAAATTACCTAAATTGTGGACACAAATCAGGTAGTTGTATGTACAAATGTCTCTAAGTAATAGAGCTGGTCAAAAATTCTTCAAACTTTTTTTTGGTATTATGTTAACAAAAGTGGTTTTTGAAGGAAATGAAATTTTCAAAAAAAGCTTAATTTCCTTCCAAATGTATTTTTTGATATAACAAATCAAAATGAAAATTTTCTTTTTGTTTCAATAATAATATTAATGGCATCACGTTTCCAAAGTGAATTAATGCAAATCAGCTGGTGTACAGAGTTTGAAATAGCTTGACAGTTTGAAATAGCTGTGCACATTAAAGCAGAAAAGAAAACTGACAACATATGCCTTAAAGAAAAAAAAGAGATCCCAATCATATTGAAAATAGCAGGCACTCTCCATTTTACAGTATCATGATGACTTGCATATATATATTTTCTGTGACTGATTAGATTTCTATCGAGTGCTTAGCTACAGCTCACATCTACAGAAAACAGTCAGTATAAAATGTATATTGCACTAAGGATCCAAGCTCTAATCAGTATGTCACAATGGACCTGTGGCAGGGTCACTAACGACTATCTTTCCAGTTCTGATCATTTATTTATTTCTAGCCCATTTTGTGTAAACTGCTGGTCATTAATTTAATAATTAAAGCCAGGGGATCACTGCCCTGTTTTCAGTGGTCACCAATTCATCTTTATACACAAGCAGAAAAAAGAAACTAGGTAGTAATATCTTATGCTCTTCTCCAATGGCACTTTTCTGTTAACAGCGTATCAGAAATCTGCAATGATATGAGAAGACTGAGTTGGCAGTATATAGACTTGCAAGTTTCCAAAATATAATGGGCCACTGAGATTCTGAGGTTGAATATAAACCTCTCATTCCATGTTGTTGCCAGCCATGGAAGGAGTCAATTGAACTAACAGAACAAAATCCGACATTTTTTAAAAAAAAGAGAAAAAAAGCCTTTTTGTATCGTTTTGCTGGAGTCCAAGCTTTTCAACTACCTCAAAGCTAAGATGTCCAGAGCAGAAGCATAAAGTTGGACTAAAATCCTAGCTGATGCCATAAAAAAAAGAAAATACCTACTGTTAGCTCCACAAAAAGCAATGCCTGCATATTAAACCCAGGCCTCAAGGGACAACATTCGCAAACTCGGGCACCTAAAATGAGGTATTTAAGTCCACAATGAGGGACCTAAGTAACTAGCCTGATTTTCTGTGTATGCTATATGTGGCTCAGCAATTGGAAGTCAGGGCACCTGTATTTAGGTGCTCAACTCTGGATGGGGTGCCTAATGCCAGGAATCACACTTGCGAATATTACCTAGTAAAGTTCCTGGTAGAGTTAGATCATAGATTTCACTTGCTGTTGCATCCACAATTGCCACAGAGCAATTGTACGTGACAGAAGAGGCACCAGTTTTGTTTTTGTTTTTAATTTGGCCATGGTGTTTGATGGATCTTCTTAAAAATGTTAAAGAGTATCATGTAACGAAGTATATAGCATCTTAAACAACCTCTGTTTACCTTATGTAATTGTTTCAATCCCTCTTCAGTTTTTACACACGACTGCTCAACATTGTAGTCAATTCTGTCCAGAACTGTACCCTGAATAACAAACAACAGTTATAATGAACCTGAACCTAAATAAATACTATAGAACAAATCAGTTACAGTTAATAAGAGGGTGATAAATAGGGTTCACAGAAGATAACTGATGAACTATGCAGGCTAAGCACATCTTCAAAAGAAAGAACTGGTCAAGAAAATAAAATGTTGTCTTTAAAGGAGTTCCTAGCTTGGTTGCCTAAATAATGGGACTGTTACACACCTCAAATTGTGCATGCTTTAACAGTGATCATTTCAGTTTTTAAAGTATAAATGCAGATCCAGTTACTTGTAATGACCAAGAGTTTCTTGCAACTTTAACACATTTTCATGGTCCTGGGAAATAATGTTGTACTCTTGGTTGGTTTTCTTCACCCCTGAATTCCTTGCACCATGGAAATGAACAGAAACAATGGGCATCCAAACCCTTTGGGTATATCTACATAGCAACCGGGAGGGTGCTTCTGATACAGACACACACTAGAAAAGGTTGCCAGAATTTCTTTTAACATGGGCAAACATTCTTCCCTAGCCTGGAAACCATGGGCGGGGGTGGGGGGGCCTGGGGGTGGGGGGTGGGAGGAGATATGCAAACTAGCTTGAGGCAGACACCAAGCATGGAATAGCATGGAACCAGCAAAGCTGTAAGAAATTGAAAAGGGGGTCTTACAGTGAGCAGTGTCAGGCAACCTTAATAACAGGCAGTGCTATCAGCTCTGTCTGTAGTGCTGATACCATGGGTCCACACACCTGTTCCACTATCATTGCTCCAAGGTCCCTAAATATTTCATTGAGATCAGAGATTGATTGTACAATCTGGCGGATTTCTCTTTCCCGCTCTTCCACCATTAATGTGTTTTGTTCCACCAATACTAACTGGTCATCTGTAAAACCCTGTAGAAATAGAAGATTTAAATGATGAGCTAACAGTAATAACATGGAACGCAAATAGTAATAAGTATAAAGCACTGTCATCCTAATGCCAGGGCCTCTTTGGAACTCCCATAGCAGCCACAGACATCGTTAAGAAACAAAATCTTAGCGTGCAACTATGCATTAAATATGTAACAGATTTAGGGCTGCCACAAAAATTATTTGGATTGTCACCTGAATTTCTGGTAGAGATGATTTAAATCCAGCTACGCATAATTTAAAAAGAAGAAACTTGCACACCCAAAATAGACTTGCAGTTTAAATGTCAGCAGGGCATAAAAATCAGTCTGAAAGCAAATTTGTGTGCATGTATAAAACCAAGGAAGTGGCAAAACATACATGTCAATGGTAGTAGGTATGGCCTATCTACTTAATGCTCAGTATACAGAACATCTCATAAAGTCAACTGCTGCTAAAGTGTGTACATTACTGCAAGGATTGTGTTTGCAGAATCCTTTTGTATTACACAGACATTACTATTTTTATCTCCTAAGGCCATTCACTACAAAGCACTGTGCTCATTTTCAGGCTTTCTTGTTTAGAGGTCAAGTGGAACACTACTTTTATTATCTTGCATGGTGTCAAGTATCAGGGGGTAGCCGTGTTAGTCTGCATCCACAAAAACAACAAGGAGTCCGGTGGCACCTTAAAGACTAACAGGTTTATTTGAGCATAAGCTTTCGTGGGTAAAAACCTCACTTCTTCAGATCAAGAAGTGAGGTTTTTACCCACGAAAGCTTATGCTCAAATAAACCTGTTAGTCTTTAAGGTGCCACCGGATTCCTTGTTACTTTTATTATGCTAGTTGAAATACAGTCCGTCACCTTTTCCACGAGTTTGCTGCTTAATCCTTTAGCATTGGAGGGAATAGTGTTTTGCAGTACAAACAGAGGCATACTGAGAAACACTGACATAGCAGTGATACGCAGTTCCCTGAAACACTGATGTGGGCACTTATAAGGGACGCATCTGGCATGCGTGGTAATGCTGGAGATGTGTATTGTGTCATATACCAAGTAGGTGAGGTAGAGGTGAAGCATTAAATTGGACCCATTCTTCGTATCTATGCTCCATAAGGTCTGTGCAGAAAACTTCAACTTCTTTGTCAACATGAAATAGAGACATAGGCATTCACTCCTAATGATTGCACATTGCCACCATCCAATTGAAGCTACTATCCTGACAACTGATGACAGTTCTCTTCAGAACCCCTGCATGTGCCATGGGAAGATGGAGTGAGGGGTGACAATGCTGCCTCTGCAGAGCTCCTAGTCCCTAGCAGGAGAATGAGAGTTTGACTCCTGAACTCATGTCTCCCACACTTCAAAAATCAAAGCTAATCCCAACTTCCTAACATTATGGATGACAATCTGTGTTCTTCCTTTTCACCAAAAATGCATGGCATGGTACGTATTACTAAACACATCTTAGCGATGATGCATCAAAGCAGGAAAAAAACCTTTTTTTAAATTAAAGACTTTAACCACCCCCCAATTACAACAGTGTTTATTAGGAAAACACTAAGACAACTGGCTAGATGGAACTCCCATATGGTTTGATGCATACATCAGACACAATCTGATTTTTGATTCATTCTCATGATTCTCATATTTAAGACCACAGTAAAAAACAACAAACCTCACTCTCCAATAAACTTCACTTAAAACCTATTAACTTACCCGATCATAAAGAGTACTGTCCTCTCCATCATCCATGAGCGGGACTGACGTATCAAAGAAATGCTTGGCTCTTTCTTCTCGATTTTTCATGCCTGTAAAAAGAGAAAAGCTGTGGTTGAGTATAATATTTAGATACACAAAACAGAAAGTCACTCAGATCCACTATTACCATTTTGAAATGCAACATTCTGAATGTTAATGTACTTCAGGTGAAATAATATTTTTCCAGAAGCTTCAGGAGGACACGAGATATGTGCAGAAGAGGTCAAGTTATTTATGCAGAGTGATATCACACCATTAGCCAGATTTTCCTAAGTGACATGCACTGAATTTTAATCAGCATGTATCGATTGCTATTTACAAAGCATGACCAACTTTGACTACACAAGATTTTGGCTAGATCAGCGACTCTTAATCATTATGTTCCATGAACGTCAAGTAATTTAGCATGCTCTAACATTCAGCATATCTAATTTACAGTAATTTAAAAGGAGCTTTTTTTTGTTGTTGCCCCATCTTTAAAAAATTATTTTATTTCTTTTTGCAGAGAAACACATTATTAGGATTGAGCAAAACTAGAGGTGATGCGTAAATACAAGACACTAAAGTGATGTGGGCCCAAAAGTACTTAGGTAGATACATGCACTATGTCTCTCACAGGGCAGCAGGTTTCTGTATGTCACCCCACAAGTTATTTTCTAACAAAGAAACCCTCTCAGGTGCATGTCTCCTCCTAGTCTTGATCCCAAACTTTACCTGTGGCAACTATAGTGCTGGGCTACAGGATGAAGAGATATTAGGCCAATATTAAGTGGAGAAGATAAAAATAAGTTGGTGCATTTGCCTAGTTACAGATTTTGGATACTGCACATTGTATATATGATATATTGCACATAGCATTTTGCATCTGTGTTTTCTCTCCTCTATGGCTGTTGGACATTAAAATTTATTAGCAATCAATCTCCACTTGTTGCCTACAGCTCCCACTGCTCTAATCTCTGTAGGTCACTTTGCAGTTTGGTTTTTAATTCTTGTTTTTTTGATACTCTCTTTAATTTTGGTGTCAGCCACAAATGTAATCAATTTTATTTACGCCAAAGAAACACAACTGAATTTAAACCAGAGAGAGAGATGAAGCAGTCTTGTAGCATCCTTTTACTTTTTGACTTTAGTTTGACAAAACACACCTTTGGAAGTCCTAAAGGTCCTGAATTTGGATTCAACTAGCAGCAGGCATCACTGATTGAAGACTAACAACTGCTTCACCAATGTAACAGAAGTTCTGCAGATGACTTGCAGGCAATGCGCACACCACAAAAGTGTTTCACAAAACATAACTTGAGAAAGAATTAGGTAGTCGAAACTTTGATAGCAGACTAAGTTAGTCTGTACATAAGACTTCACTCATATATTTACACCTCATATATGTACTTGTATCAAGACCAAGCTAAGCATATTAACTTATTGTATAAATAAGAACAAAAGAGGCACAGTTAAGTGGTTTTGAGCACAGGACTTAGAGCCAGGAACTCCTGAATTCTACTACTAGAATTGGACAAGAATCTTAGAATTAGAATCTTGGACAAGTCACTGAACCTCTCTGTGCTTCTGTTTCCCCAACCCAGAAAATGGGGATACCACCTTCACAGCACAAATGGAATAGGGCGAAGGTGAGTATTTGTTCAATACTTTGCAGACAGAAGGCACTTAGTACTGTATGTCTTTGCAGATGCTTACGTTTGAGATAGTCAGACTGTGCATGCCTAAAGTTGGTGGATAGGTCCTGAAGGGACTGTGCTAAGGAAGACACTATGTTTCTGAGAACACGTTCTTCTTGTTCTGTACAATTACGTGACCTGCTCTGCAAGGCCTGGACTGCTCTCTGGCATCTGTGAAATAGCTGAAAAAATAATTCCCATTAGTCAAGAATAATAAGACATTTTAATTATCACATGGCTCAAATGTTGAATGAATGACTGTAATACTTTAACATAAGGATTTTTAAAGAAAAGAAAAGTACACTGATGTCCAGGCTGTCATTTAAATGGATATAAAAACACAGCACTCAGATGAAGACTAAAATCCAAACAACTTTGCAGCTAAATGTAAATGAAAGTTTTCTGTAAACTAGATTTTGTAACTGATTAAAAGATTTGTGATTAAGCAAATTATGATATTTACTTTGTGAATAAAAAGGCATTCAAGAGAGCATGCAGGTTGTTCTGCCCAAGAACAATATTTACTCCATTCGAAAGTAATTACTTCTGTTCAGAATGGAGGTTGCATATTTAGTAATACTATTTTATAACTCCTTTACAAACATGAATTACTTGAGCCTCACAATCCTATGGCAAGGGGGTTAACATCTATATTACAGATGGGTAAACTGAGGCACAGAGCAAGTAAGTGACTTGTCATCATAGAGTCAGTCATAGAGTATAGGGCCAGAAGAGACCACCTGATCATCCAGTCTGACCTCCAGTATATCACAGGCCACCCCCCCGCCCCAGGATCTCAGTGACATATTGGAAGAACTAGGCACAGAACCCCAACATTCTGGCTCAATCACCTGTTCTAACCACAAGAGCGCACTGATTATCAAATGTGAACTTTATTTCAAACAAGTCAGTGCCACACCAGGATAGAGCTAAGTAAAACTGCGGCTTCGGAACTGAATTAACATCTTCTCTGAAAATATTTTATCTGCACCTGTGTGATCTCTTGGGTAGTAATTTCTATTGCATGTTCTTCTTCGCTGCTATCATCCAAAGTAGGTCTGTTTAAATATTTGTCATGAAGACTGGCTAATTCTTTCATCTTCTGTTTAATCCTGCTGATATCATCCTGAATCTAAAAGAAATGGAGAAAGGACAGTAATGCCACAGAGGAAAAGGTTCCGACAAATATCTGATAGACTTAATTTATGTAAAGACATAATTAACAGAAGCGTGTACTGTAGAAAAACAGGCCAAATATTTTAAGCCAAAATGTACAAAGTTGGCCTCTGAGTGTGTGGTTTGTGACCTTGTTGCTCTTTTGACATTTTAACTTAGCATAAACCCTCTACCAGTACACACTGGATGGGACTATGGTGCTTTCAAAGATATAACTCCACTGGACTGGACCACAATACAGTCAAAGAATCACTCAAATTATATTAAAAACGAATAGTAAAATCAAAAATGTAAATTTAGAAGGGAACATGAAAAATCCAGATTGCATCTTCACCCATATCACATGGTGTTGTAATACAAACCAAGCATAATGGTATAAATTAAAGGGCATAATTTCAAATTGGCTTCTACCAATACAACTGTAAAGTCATAAGCCAGATGTCTGCAAGCAGCGTATTGTGCTTGTAAAGGCTGAATACCCATTTCTGTGCACATATGATGGTTTTTGTATACAGAAAAGGACGTGACTGTAAATTTTGTGAGCACATTTTCAGAGGCCTTTTTGAAATCTGTACTAGTAGGTTCAGCCTCACTTTTTACACCGTATTTCTTGCATTAGAATTTACAAAAAGACCTCACTTCAATTAACTCCTTTGTAAATTACTATTACAATAAACCTTATTGCATTAGTGTTGTCACAGCTATTTTCCCATTAAAATCCTTGAACAAGAAACTACACCCAACAATAACATGTAAGTAACTTACTTCTCCCACTCCATCAACCCATTTGGGGGGTAGCCGCTTTGTTACACAAACTGCTGCTTCGGGATCTAAACTGATCCCTGATACTAGTGCCATGCGATCATCAGCAAGCTACAAAAGGGAAAAGCAACAAATTTAAAGACAGAAAACTATGTCTATTCAGATTATATTCATCCAATTCAGGTATTTGTAATCACTGTAACTGCAACCTCCCTTAAAAAAAGCCAGCTAAACAGAGTAGTTAATGCACTCCATGTACAGTTTACTCATTTGTGATGGATGCTCCTCATATCCTGGCTTGTTTCTCACAGATTAATTAGCAATGTCCTTGTGTCCTACCAGGACTCGGGAGATAGAATCCACTCTGCAACTAGCGGGCAGCCACAGTTTCCTTTCTGCTTCAAAGTTGGGACTCAGGAAGCCCCTGAGCTGGAGTAAGGGAAGTGGCCTCACTCTATGTGAGAGCTTGTTGCCACTGGATCCTTGTATTAGCCACATTTCTCTGCAGATCAGGGCCAGACAAAAGTTTCACACTTTAGATCTTTGAAATGAAATTAATTTCTTAAAAGAATATATATTGTTTTGTAGTCTCAAACAATAGTATGAAATTTCCAAATAACGAAAGATAGGTTTATTAGCTCCCTGTGAAGCTAAGAAAAGAAAGTTTTCCATATTCTCAGTCTCCAGGGAGTTCTTTCAGATAAATACTGTATCTGATTCATTCGGAGTCTCAGATACTAGGTGGACACAGGCTAGATAAGTACCTAGATCAATATATTTAATAAATGATCACGTGTAGGGTCTTCTAGAATTGATATGAAGAAAAATTGGAGGATCCAAATCATGACCACCAGCAAGTTGGGGCAGCAAACGGAGGGCACAGGGTATAGAAATACTTTTCCAAGAAGCCCTACAGATTCCCAGGAGAGTAGGGCAGAGCCCAGATGTGACTTCCCCCTGGTTCAGAGCAGTGCTGGAGGTGGCAGAGGGAGGGAAGAAACCCACTCTTACTTCCACAGCCTAAGAACCCAAGTATGTTCCCCCACTATGTGTTCTCAAGGGAGGAGAAGCAACACCTGTGGGCAGGCTACCCACTCCGGGAGCCCAGATGACTCTTATTGCCACCTTCTGAGCCTTGGAAACCAGTGACATCAAGACATCTACTCCATACTTGAACACAAATCTTCTGAGGGGAGGAACCTTTGAAGCTTTGATGGCCCCCCAGCCTCAGATGGGGAGGGGACCCCCTCATCTCAGGGTATTGGGGGGATAGTTTATATTAAAAAATACTAATAATGGTAGGTAGAGAAGCAGTCTGGAAGAGGCAGGGGAGAAAGCAAAAATAAATAAAATAATATACAACCAGGCAGTGTGCCCAGAGTCACCTTATTTGGGGTAGGAGAATTTTAATAAAACCTGAGGGGCTATGTTTTTAGGAGGCATGTTTACAATAACAAAACTAGTATAAATGATCTATACCTGTGCAATAATAAGCCAACATAAATGCATGTTATCCCTATCCTCCCTTCTCTACTCCCTTCTGCATGTTGCACTCACTTGTTGCATCTTGTCTACTTAGGCTCCAATCCTGCAGAGATCTGTGCAGGGCCCCACTGACAGCAACAAGGGTCTGTCTGCATGGAGCTCACTGCGACATCAGGGGCTTAGATTGTATGTATACTTGTATTTGTACAGTGCCTAGCACAACCGGGTCTTGATCCTAATTAAGACCTCTGGGAGTAATTATAAAATAATTAATAATAGTAGCAACCCTGGCAAGGAAATAAATAACCACACAGACGAAGCTGCCAACAGAAATGCTGTTAGAAGAAAACAACCTCAAAACCATTTTGTATGTACCGGTAATTACATTAACTCTCATAGTGAAAGTAAGCCTTGAAAAAGTGGCCCACTAACATCAGAGCATGTTCTCTAGAACAGCGCAAATACAAAGAGGAAAAACAACCTGTATACATCACAATTCATAGGAGTCAAATAATTTGAATGATAGAAGAAGATGTTTTAATAGGTGTCATGATATAGAGTTCAATGTTATTGGGAGCTGAAGTATATTAATTTATTTATATTAGTGTTGTAAATGTTTTAAAATGAGGGTGTAGTACACTGAGGAGAATTAGATAGTATACTTGAAAACAGAGTGTGGATTTCATTAAAACATACCATGACTGCAACCAGATTTGAAAAGTTGAAAGGTTTTAAGGGAAAGAGAGAGAGAATTAATAATAAAGATTATCTGCAGAGTTGCAAATGCTTACAGTAAGTGTGCAGGAGCCTTATTTTCCAAATCTTACTGTTAGGTGTAGGTCAAAAAAATTTCACTTTACCCTCAAGAGGCATCTAATAAAGCCTTAATATACAACAAAGAAGCTAAAAAGAGCATAACATCTTTGCTCAGTCTGGCAAAGACTAAAGGCCCAGTTTTGATGTCAGATATGCTGATGCATTATATGCTGTTATAGGATTTGACATCATTAATGATGAAATACACTTGTTTATCCTGAAGCAGAATTGTGTCCTTAAGGTGTGGAGTGGGTGGAAGGAAGATGGAACATTTATTTCCTTACCCTAGCAATCTCTTAGTGCCCTTCCTGACACTCCTTTTTACTGCCCAAAAGCTAGTAACAACAGAAGAATCTTAAACTGATTTAGACACATAGAACAAGGTACTGTATATACTCGTTCATAAGCCAAATATTTTTGGTAAAAAATGATGCATCAAAGAGCGGGGGTTGGCTTATAAACGGGTCTACACCAAAATTTGATGATTTAAAACTCTATGAAAATCACTGAATTGAATATTTAATACATTGTCATTTTGTTTACCTGGAGTGTCTGCAGGCATGGAGCCCCTCAGTTCTCTGTGGCCGTGGTTTGCCGTTCCCAGGCAATGGGAGCTGTGGGAAGTGGCACCACTTCCCGCAGCTCCCATTGCCTGGGAATGGCAAACCGCAGCCACTGGGAGCTGAAGGGCTCCGTGCCTCCAACACTCCAGGTAAACAAAACGTCCCGACCCGACCCGCCAGAGGCTTACCCTGATGGGCCAGGAGCCAAAGTTTGCCAACCCCTGAAATTTAGGGTCGGCTTATGAAAGGGTCATACAATTTTTACCATTTTTCCTTATCCATCTTGTGGGGGGGGGTCAGCTTCTAAACGAACCGGCTTATGATCGAGTATATACGGTAGTTTACCTGGATCCGTTCTTTTTGCTAAGTTAGCTACTATAACCTCAGTATTTTTTATATGCAATTGAAATAACTTGTAATTAAAAAGGGAAATGATCACAGGACGTAGTTACAGCAGTAAGGCTCATTACAGCTCTGTATAAACAAGAAAACTCTGAGGTAAGGCTGATAGTACAATAAATAGCATAAACCACTTAATACTTCTATAGCACTTTCATTCTGAGTACCTTAGAAGGAAAACTTTAACTCACAAATCCCTTGAAGTAGTAGCCTAATATAACTGATGGGTAAACAGGGGCACTGAGAGGTTAAATGACTTGTCCACAGAAAATTTATAGAAGAGCTCGAAATGAGACCTAGGTCTCTTGACTCCCAGTCCTGTGATCTAGCTATTAGGCCACGCTTTCTAACTTAATTCACTCAACCTCCTCTCATTCCCACTGAAGTACTGCTGCAACGCTCTGCTCCAGCTACAAACAGAAACACTCCGCTTCTTTATAGGACATTGAACAAATAACAGAATGGATTTATTTTATAATTAAATAAAGAAGCATGAATGGTATCTGATAATTTACTTTACATTAAGAAAAAGGTAACTGAAGTACATTTTCTTCAGTTCATTTTGTGTGGGTTGCATTTTGAAGTAGGTTGCTGTGCCTATACAAATGGATTATACGTGACTGCAAAGGCAAGATTTTTCAAAATGTCAGGTAAACCGGAGATGTCACATTAGAGAAATCCCACCAATACTACTTTGTGTGAGCAGATGGCAACATGTATATTTTGTAGCTGTGCAAATTAATTGTTTCTAGTGTATAATGCTTTTCTAATTTAAAAGTTTAAGCTCTGAAGATCTGTTGATAATAAGGATACTCCCAAAGACCCTATTGCTGCAAACATTACTCGGCACACTGCTTAGTCCATTGAAACCTAAGGGACTACTCACAGTAATAAGCCCTATGCCTGCTATAGTTTACAAAAGCAGGAACAACATTTAATGGTTTCACTGTATAAAGTTTTTATATGTAGTGTGTAACAGGGTAACAGCAAATCTGGACCGTTTTATGTAAGTATATAGTAATACTGTAATGTGACTACCCTGAACATCAAAATGTCTCATGAAAGCTCTCCTTCACGCTAATGAAAACACTGCCTCATCCTTGTATTGTGAAAAAACCATCAGTGATCTCACACTGTTAAATCTAAAAAATTAACAGTAAAAAGAAATGAGTGTTCTAACTAATCATCATCTATATTGGATGCACCATGGTGGAACAAAATATAAAAAAACAATACCTCATCCAGCTCCTGATATGATTGGTTGATTCCATCAGCCCCATCCATTTAGGGACAGCAAAAGGTAAAAGAGAGAAAGAGAGAGAGACACAGGACAGAAATAGGGTACAGTCAGTTGAGAAAATACTGAAACTTTATTTTTTTAAAATTGACAGTTTACCAAGAAAAAACCAAAGAGGCTCTTAAAACAATAACGACTAATAAAATACAGCATTCTCAATGTATCTACATAAGCATTTAGTCTGGTGCATAAAAGCACATTTTTCTTTAAAAGTTATTTCAGTAGTTTTCTGGTAAACAGGAACACAATTTTTGTTTAAAAAAATCAAGAAAGTCAATAAATTGATTTAAATACAATATATGATTTCAAATACCAACTATCAGATAGAAGAATTGCTATGTAAAACATGTTTAATATGAATTGAATGTAGCAAGGATCATGTGCTCATGCTATTCAAAATCCAGGATAAATTTTGACACATTCAATTCAAGAAAGAGATTGGAGGACCTGTATGCATTTTGGTTTGATATTTTTATTAGGCAAAGCTTGAAAAATTGACTCAAGACACACATTTATTGATAAGCATCCCAGTCACCTTAAGAGGACATAGGGAAGAGCAAAGAAAAAGCCACACCAAAACACCAAAAGATGAAAGATTTAGTTTAGTATACTCTAGTTATCAAATAATGTTATTGTCCTTATAGTTGAAAACCATATAAAAGACTAGCAACTACAATATATTTGCAACTTTACCAGTGAAACCACTGCGTTATCTTTGTATAGTGTATGAAAAGGGGACCAGAAGGAACATTGAAAAATTAATAAAGCAAATATTACTTTTAAAGCAAGGACAAAATGCTTAGAGGTAAAAAGGTGTCTCATGTTACACTTAAATACTTCTTATATTTACATACTCAGCTTTAGAAATAAAAAGTAATTTAAGAATGCTAAGGACTTAAACTTTGCCCGAGTATTTAAAATTTCAGTTGCATTGATTCAATGACTGTCAGTATCAGAAGGCTGAACTATTCTAATGCAGGATAAAAACAGTGAACTTTTTACAGCAATGTCTAGTACTCATGAAGGGTGGTAGACCAACAACCCTGGAACCTGTTTATCCAAAAACAAGATAAGGCAAGGTAGTGACAATCAGGCTCTGTCAACCTGCCAGCGGGTTTCATCCCTGCTCTGGAGGCACTATGTTAGGGGAGGAAAAGGCAATTTGCATAGATGTTATACTGATAGGTGTAGTTATAGGCACCCCAGACAAATATATGACAGATAGCTCGGTCTATACAGTTTTTGGCTTTCTTGCTGAGACTAACCTGGATTTAACTAAGTAGCAATTATGGAACAGACACCTGTCCACTAGGAACTAGGTCCAACTATTAATTCATTTCACACAGGGCAACAAAGGCCTGGTCTACACTGGGGGTGGGGGTTGGGGGGATCGATCTACACTAGACGTGATAGATCGATCCCTGACAGATCGATCACTACCCGCCGATCCGGCGGGTAGTGTAGTCATGGCCAAAGAGACATGAAGCTTTTCAATCTCTGCCAATGCTGATTGCGTTTACGTGAGCACTTGACAAAACAGCTTTTTATTCCATCAATGCTAGTAAAGGCTTTGAAAATGTAAAGCTGTAAACAAGTGCTAAGTATTACTAACCCATTACCCTTTCAATGGATACTGAATTTGATTGGTCAGTTGCTTCTATGCCTGTTTTCATGATCAGTAACATTTCTAGGTAAATATTAAAATTTTAGAATGTCTAAAAAAATCCTGGTGATTTAACAACCTCTAATTACAATCTGCACAAATACAATTTTAGAAAAGCCAAATAGAGTGCCAGAATAAAGTACATTTAAAATATATTACTAGGTGTGACCTTTACTGTTCTATAAATGTAATTTCAGAAGTAGCTTGTACAAAGATAGGTGGAAAAAAGCTAACTATGAACAAAGATTAGTCAATGGTAGCTCCCAGGTTGAAATGGAATTTATAACATTAAGTACCGTTTCTCTTTACAGAAAATGCACTAATGAAAAGCAACAAAGAAAGAAAGGAGGACCCATATGTTTACTGGAGGCTTTTCTAAATAAATGAGAAGATTGACCTTAAGTGGAAATAGACAGAGACAATTCTATACTAATGTAGTTTCAGTTACCAACCAGAAAACTACTTGGCTGGGTGGTCAAATGGGGTGCTTCGTTACTTACTGAAATCCAATTTTTAAAACTCAATTCAAATTGGCACTGTTTATGTGCATTTACAAAATCTTCTCTCTCTCTTTCGATAATTATTTCGTAAGTGATTTCAAAGCAACACTGGAATCTGAAGTTTTCCGTCATAGTCTGACCAGACCAAAATTTACAAACAGCCACAGGTATAGAGTTTGTCCTCTTGCACTTGAGGATTATGCTTGGTGGTATCTGCACTATGTATTATAACCACTTTGCAACAGAATATAAACAACAAAAGCTATAAAAACCGTTAAAGAAGAAAGAGAAAACAAACAGTAAGATATTAAGGGGAAAAATGGAAGGGCTTCTCCTTTCATATTTAAAACATCCAAACTGGAACTACAGCAATATATCTATATAAAATATAAATAAAATAACTTGCTGTATGTATAAATTACCAATGGAAAGAATACACTCCAAGCCCCAATCTGGCAAACTGATGAACAAGGGTGGACTCCTGTGCCTGCAGAGTCCAATTAGCTTCTACGTTTGCTATTATACTATGAAGTATTTTCAAGTAGCTGAAATAATGTTTAGCTGAAAAAATGTACAGAGTTTTGTGTGCTGGATTTTTTGCATACTTAGCTGTATATATAGCAGGGGAATGTGGCTTTATTAAAACAAGTGATTAAATTTCAGAATGGAAAAATAGCAAAGCTTATTCCTACTAGGGAAAGAAAAATTGAATGACCGATACATAACTAAACATGTCAAATCACTTATGGCCCTGATCTCACCTGCAGATGTGCTAATGAGCACATCTGTGCCTGCATGGTGGCCTGCTCTAATTACATCTTCTTGCAGGAATGGTAGCTATAACACAGACTTCATACAATGAGTCCAATTTTGCGATCCTTCCTAAAGGATTCAACAGGGGCTTTGCCTGTGTGAGTCAGTATTGGACCCTGTATGCATATGTACATGTTCTTTAAAACAAGGAAGAATCAAACTATGAACTAAAAGTGCACCTGGATTCAGACTGACTTGAAGATATAAAAAGCTGAGTGGCCGCAAATGGTTTTAAAACTAGAAAAATGTTATTTGATTATTGCTTTTGCTTAAATTGTTTCCTTGCTTTTTTCATCACTCTATGTACAACTGGAAAATAGATGTTTGCACTCGCTAAGATAACAGAGCTAGTTACTTTGGAAATTCAAAGTCCTAATAAAATTCAGCTTTTAGATTGCTTCTGGATGACAAAATCCCTAAAGGGAATGGTAATTTTTTGGGGTAGGGTAAAACAGAGGCAAACAAGCACTGGCTGTGTGGACAATTATAAGCCATCTTACTTCCTTTTTCTTACACTTTCACTAAGTGTAATTATGTGATGGTATTTTCAGAATTTGGAGATTGAATCATGGTAAATTTGGAATGCACCTATTGATTGAACAACTTCTACAACAAGAAACAACAAAAAGATCTGTCAGTTCTAGGATGCCATGTTACATCAATTTCAAAAGGCATTCATGCATTTCATTTTAACAAATTTATGACACTATGATACATATGCCTCTTTTTTCCTTAATTAAAATATCAGATACACATTGAAGAGAGCATAGTCATTCATTTTACTTTGGAAAAGGGGAAAAAAAAAAAGAGATACCAGCAACTTGTCTCAAAGTAAGAAAAGGTTAAAACAATGGTGGTAAACTGCATTATAGGTTTTAACAGTGCCCACAACAAAGTGAGAAAAAGAGATCAGAATGAAAAGATAGCTTTGTTCCTTTCACCTGGGAAGGGAGATGGGGTTGGGAGAAAAAGGAGCGACAACAACTTAATGTCTAATAATAATGTGAAGATATTTAAATAATAAAGTTTATTATTTATGGAGCAAATAGACAAGATCAGTATAAGAGGACAGATCTATTCTATTCATTTTAGATGGGGAGAGGACAGTGGGAGGGAGAGGTGGTGTTAGAAGTGTGGGACAAATGGAAGGTGGGAGATGGGGAGAAAGGGGGAAAGAGGTAGTAAGAGGAAAGGAGATGGGAGGAGGGAAAATATAGGGTGAGGAGAAGAAAGGGGAGCAGGGGGAGTTTAGGGGGGAAGGTGAGGCAAAGGAGTGTACTGGGGGAGAGGAGATGGGGTGAAGAGAGGACGGAAGAGACAAGAACACTTGCTGTCTGACAGTCCTAAGCAGATGGCATTAGAGCAGCAAGTGTGGGATACAGTAGGATGAAGGGAGGAGACTCACCGCAGCAGCCATGCTACGTGAATTCAGAGGGCTGGAGGAGCTGTAACTACTCACTTGCTCGGCCAGCAGCTGCCGGTTTTGGATCGCGTTGTTCCGCAACAACAAGAACGCGTCTGTTAAACGCCGGGTGGCCATGGCTCTACTTCTAGGGCCCCCCTGGACTCCCCGCAGAGCTGTCACGGGACCCCTCGGCACCCCCAGGGGTCCCAGCCCCGAGCCTTCAAGAGCCCTCCCTGCACTCCCAGGGGCCCCAGCCCCGAGCCTTCAGCCCCCCCCGCACTGCCAGGGGTCCCCGGATTCCTGGACTCCCCTTCGGCCTGCACGGGACACCCCGAGCCCCCCAGTGGCTTCTCTACCTGAGGACTCCCAGGTCAGGCTTGTGCCCTGAGCATCCCTCACCCCCTCCCAGGGAACCCCGGAGCCTCCCCCGCTGTCCCAAGGCGCCCCCCCCCCGTGGGGGGGCTGGCTCTCCTAGGCCTGGGGCTCCCGCCCTAGCTCAGCCCAGACACCCCGGGGCGGATACAGCGCGAGTCCCCGGCGGCTCCTTCCCGCCGTTCACAGGGACCAAGGAGCGGGGACGAGCCCCGACTCCCGGCGGCAGCGCCCGGCTTCATCCATCCTTCCTCCCCGGATCTGACTGCGGCCCGGCTCACTTCCGCGTTGTGCATCCCCAGCCCTCCTCCCCCCGACCCGCGCGCCGCGGCACCAACGTTCCGGGCCCCGGGGCGACCTGGGCACCTGCCCAGAATGGGAGGGGATGAGCGGGGTGGGGGAAGAAGCCTGTTGTACCTTTCATCCTGAGACTGAGATCCTGAGGGATTCCTCAGGGCTGCCCCATTGTCCCCAGCATCTCTGGGCAGTGCCATGGGGGTTGCCCTCGTGCCAAGCCCGGTGGGTGCTGCAAGTGTCATGGGGGCCTTTGCTCGGGTTGCCAGCATTGTATTTCAGAAACAAGGGAGGTTTCAGAGGAGCAGCCGTGTTAGTCTGTATCCGCAAAAAGAAAAGGAGGACTTGTGGCACCTTCGAGACTAACACATTTATTTGAGCACAAGCTTTCGTGAGCTACAGCTCACTTCATCGGATGCATTCAGTGGAAAACAAGGGACTGTTTTCTTAGCACCTCTGCCCCACCCCTCCTGGTATTATTAATTATTATTAATAATATAATTAATAAGCAGTACTCACTTATATTCGCCGGCGGTATTTTTTGCTGCTTTTTGCAGCACTCAGCAATTCCTGAGCCTATTGTACGGAGATGAAACAATAAGGGATGGATGTCCCATGTTTGTAACAATGTCCTCAAGGGGTCACTGTCTGCAGGGACCAAACTCCGTGAAAGCATAAGCCTGTACTGATTGGGGAAAGGGCCAAATCTAGTGCCCTAGCTGGAGGGCAGCCACTGACTCATTAACCTCTCTACAGGACTAACCTCTAAAAGGGGTACAAAGAGCCAAACTGTTAGTAGGATCACCAACCCCAAAGCATTCAGAAACCATTAGTCAGGTCCCAAAATCATGAGGTTGCCATAAAAATCATGAGCTATTAAAACTAATAAATGTTGGGTTCCCCTGATTTGCCTTCTGGTTTCCCAGCATTTACTGTTTACATGTTCCAGCTTTTCTCTGCAACCAGGAAGGCTGAAAATGAGCTTCTCACATAATCACAAGACTCCAGAAGGTTGGGATCTAAGAAAAGCACTGGCCATTGCAAGATTCTGGGTAAAATAATGACAGCTGGCAACACAGTGCATAAGCATCAGAGTAACAAGGAATAGAGGAACAGAAAAGTGACCTCTCCAGGAGGGCTGCAGCCAGTACAGTTCTGGAATTCTTGTCTGCATTCATTTAAAGTGTGGGAGATGTTATTTACTAATTAAAACAAAAATACATATTTAAACATTAATTTATTTGAATTTTTCAAGTGGCAGAAAAAAAAACAGAACTGGGGTTGATTTAGAGAAGAATCTCAGGCTTTTCCGGTTTCCTTTGTTGCTGGATTGTTCTGTTGCACTGGACATTCTGTATGCTGTGCTGCTTCCTGGAACTGCCTGGGATCCTCCTTTTGGTATGGAGAGGGATCTATGCTTCTGCTGTCTGCCCAATGATCCAATGCGAGGGTCTACACATTCTTTCTTGTACTACAGCCCTGTCTCACCAGGTCTCCAAAGCTTACTTTTGAAACAGCAAGAATCTGAAGCCAATGTACTGTGGCAGGCAGCAGAGCGACTGTCCCACAGTGCACCTCTCTTGTCCTTCAGGAGATTCAGTGGCCTAAATTCTCAGAAAAAGATGTGTCATTTGTACATATGGTTCAGGCAGTTACCATAATCACAGATACCTTTTCCAGAAAAATCATTCCATTGTGTCTAACCACCTGGGTCAGCATCTATAGTGAGCAGTGGCCTTTGCCATTATAAGACCTTTTAGGACCTGTTCTTGAACAGCTCTTCTGACTCAATGGAAGAGACTAGAAATTTGGAAGTTGAGAAGGATATAGGACTCAGTCCTGCAAAAACTTAGCCATGTGCTTCGTTTTCAGTGGTCTGGTGAAAATCTGTTTTGATTTTGGCTGAATCATAAAGGTTTAAAATATATACTTCACTCCTCTATGTGATTTTTTAAATATACTATAGCCATTTTTTATTCTGTGAGAACAGGTTTTTGCTAATGATCTTCCAACAATTTCTTGGCACTGCACGTGCATGTGTATGTAAGTGAGTTGAATTCTTCATTCAATAGGCAATCTCTCAACATTCCTTTAGTTCTGGACATGTGTATATAAGAAAGCTGGTTGGAATTTCTCTGAATCTGATGAGGGTGCATATGAAACAAGCCCTTGTTCTGTACCATATTGCAAGGGGCAGATGGTACCTTAACTTTGGCATTTCATGACTTCATTTTTACAAACTTTGATGTTCTTTTAGTATAGTTTTTCTTCCTTTCTTGTCTCCATTTAGAGATTTTTTGGATTCCCAGGTCTCTGGCCACTTTTTGTATTGTAACTCACTTATTATTTTGTTGTTGTTGTTTTTTAAGTGCTATTTCTTCCCCACTATTTCTTAGCATCTTTTCCTTGCTGCCCTACTTAGTGAACAATGGTACAGTACATGCTCTATGGACTCTTACAATCCTCCATTCATGTTCTTTCCCACAACCAGGACCGAATCCAAAGCTCATTGAACTTGGTGGTAGTCTTTCCATTTACTACAGTGGGCTTTAGATCAGGCTCCCAAAGAAAGACAAAACTACGCCTTATTTCATCTAATAATTCTATTTTGAGGCAAACAGCTAAGCAAAATTTTTCAAAAATGGTTGGATAACTAGAGCTACATTTTCAAAAGATGACTTTAAAATTGTGCCCACACGTTTTGGCATCTCAGTCTAGTTCCTAATGCAGTGCTATCCACATCATACTAGCAGGGGTGAAAGTAAGGCGGTACGGGCCGGTACAGCGTCCCGGTAAAAAGTAGCTGCCAGTACTGGCCTGTACTGCTGCCTTTAAAGCATTGGCGGCCCCAAGGACGGCGGGGGGCACAGAGCCGGCCCCATACCAGTAAGAGCTCAATTTTACTTTCACCCCTGCATACTAGTCACCAGCTTTGTGTAACTATTCGGACTATTTAGCCAAGGGAGATCAGATCTCATGCTTCAGGGCTCAAAACAAGGGTCAGGAAGGAATGTCTTCTCCCTCCCCCATTGGTACATTTCATATGGGGGTAGCAGAGCGCACATTGCAATCCTCAGATGCTACAGGCCTGTGCTAGTGGCAGGATATTGGGCTAATAAGTCCAACTCAGCATGGCAAACCCTACAGTCCTTTCATAACTGGGACCTTTGTTGGCAATCTCAGCAGAGATGCTAAAGAATAAATAGGCCATGGTGACTGCATGACTCTGTCACTGCTAGATGTGATCCCTCTGGATGAGAGTTCAGGCATTTTGGAGGAAATCTGCACTTCCCTTGCAGCTGTTCAATGGATAAATAGATGGTTTCAGACACCAGGGGTGTTGGTGTGCCATCTTTCATCGGTATTTCATTTATTTTAAAATTAAAACAGTGCACTGCTTTGACAGCGAATTGGGGTCCTGCCTTTTGCAGGTCGATGTGATTCTTGCAGGCTTTCTATAGGTGGTGCTGTAGGGTAGCAAAATGAGAGTGGAAACATTCTAGACTTTTTTTTTTGGTAAATGAAATCTCCTTTGTTTCTACAAGTCCTTGGTATTTCAACTTTCTTAAAGAAAACTGGAGGTAATTGCCTGTAATTTCTTTATTTTGCTGAACCATAATTAAAATGCACCCATTGGAAAGTTGTATAAACAGAAGAGAACTATTATTGCCTCTGTGTTACAAATCTGTGCCTATTACTTTTCTTTTCCTGGAAACCCACTGATTGAACAAGCTGTCTTTTCATATGATCTAAGTTAACTCAAATTTTAACAGAAGATTTTTTTGGAGTTAGAGATTAAGAATATCGCTAGGGAGAGACCCTGAATAGTAGGCATTTAAAATGCAGTAATGCTAGGAATTCATTTTCCAAAGTGGGGCTGGTTGTGTCTTGATCCACACTCAAAAGTCCTGTTGATTTCAACAGAACTCCTGCACACAGAACAATTGCATAATTAGGCCATAGGAGTATACAGGTATCACTTACTATACCATTGAAACGCAGTCACATTCGGGGTGGAATGTAGCATCTGTTTAACAGCATGTAGGAAATGAACAAGAATTATGTATCCAGGTGGAGATGCATGGGGAGTTTAATGGATCAGAATTTAATAGCCAGAGTTGGTGTATACATCTAGAAATAAGAAAAGGAGTACTTGTGGCACCTTAGAGACTAACCAATTTATTTGAGCATGAGCTTTCGTGAGCTACAGCTCACTTCATCAGATGAATACCGTGGAAACTGTAGCAGACTTTATATATACACAGAGAATATGAAACAATACCTCCTTCCACCCCACTGTCCTGCTGGTAATAGCTTATCTAAAGTGATCATCAGGTGGGCCATTTCCAGCACAAATCCAGGTTTTCTCACCCTCCACCCCACCACATAAATTCACTCTCCTGCTGGTGCTAGCCCATCCAAAGTGACAACTCTTTACATAATCAAGTCGGGCTATTTCCTGCACAAATCCAGGTTTTCTCACATCCCCCCCCACCCCCATACACACACAAACTCACTCTCCTGCTGGTAATAGCTCATCTAAACTGACCACTCTCCAAGTTTAAATCCAAGTTAAACCAGAACATCTGGGGGGGGGGGGGGGTAGAAAAAAACAAGAGGAAACAGGCTACCTTGCATAATGACTTAGCCACTCCCAGTCTCTATTTAAGCCTAAATTAATAGTATCCAATTTGCAAATGAATTCCAATTCAGCAGTTTCTCCCTGGAGTCTGGATTTGAAGCTATTACCAGCAGGACAGTGGGGTGGGAGGAGGTATTGTTTCATATTCTCTGTGTATATATAAAGTCTGCTACAGTTTCCACGGTATTCATCTGATGAAGTGAGCTGTAGCTCACGAAAGCTCATGCTCAAATAAATTGGTTAGTCTCTAAGGTGCCACAAGTACTCCTTTTCTTTTTGCGAATACAGACTAACATGGCTGTTACTCTGAAACATCTAGAAATGACATTAAAATACCTCTGGTT